CTGTGTCTTCCAACTTTAATCTTCTTTTTCAAGATTGTTGTTGGGGAACCCTGCTGTTAGGGTTGTAGTTTCTCCATGTCCGGATAGCTGTGAGCAGCTCGGCGCCTGATGGAGAGACTCCCCTTTTCAGCAGGGGGCCTCCTGTTCTCTTCCTGGCTCACCTTGAAGTGCCGCCACAGATGCCTTATCTGAAACATGACCTCTGGCATAGAAACTACCAGGTTTTTTCTATATGGTAATCAGGCACTGTCTGACAGCCTGGAAGATAGAAGCCTACCGCCACATGTAAATAAAGCATACTATGAGCACCTATTAACTGAGGCTTTTGCTACTGCCTCCACACTATAAATCTTCTAGTTTTTCCCCTAATAAACGGAGCTGTGTCACTGAACTTGGCTGGAGCTGTATCACTGAATTTGGCTGAGCTGTTTTCACTGTGTCTGGAGCTGTGTTTCATTGCACCTGGGACCAGCCTGTGATCAGTCTTCCTGGAAGAGCTGCCTTCCGTCAACACTCACTCGCCGCTTCTGCGTTCGATGTTCCTGCTCTCCCCGCCCTTGTGGGTAGGTGGCCAACAACCCACGAGCAGAGGGAAAGCCTCCGGCAGCTAGCCCGAGCCTCCCGCAGCTTGGCACAGAGCCCACCCGCAGCCTCCTGCAGAGCCTGCCTGCACCCACTGCAGCTGCGGAGAGAGAGAGAGACCTGCCGCCCGGCAATTGTCACGTTAATTTCGAGTTGTCTTTAATAAACAGCATTGTATGACTTGAATCCTATCATTTTTTTCTGTCTCTGATGGTGCAATTGCTTTTTCATATGATAGTCAATAACATGCTACAGGACTAGCATTCTGTGTGAAATAATATTTTGAGTATATTTAATTAAAAAATTTTATTTTGTGTATAAGTGTTTTGCCTACATGTATGTAAGTACACCTGTGTCCTGCAATGCCCACAGAGGTAAGAAGAGGGCATTGGATTCCCTGGAACTGTAGTTAGGATGGTTGTTGACTGCTAGGTAGGTACTGGGATTTGAACCTGGGTCCTCTGCAAGGCAGTCAGTGCTCTTAACTGCTGAGCCATCTTTCCAGCTCCCTGAAATATTTTGAGAAAGGTGGAAAGGAAGTCATTGTACATGCTAGGCAAGTGTTCTGCAGTGTCTGATTTGCTTTTATTTGTCAGCAGTTTGGGCAGGAATTCAATTTGATCCTCCCTTCTCTTAATTTTTTCATTTTTAACAAAATTATTCAATTTTATATGTATAATGTATTGCCTTCATGTAAGTGTACTCATGTTATGCAGTGCTCACAGAGGCCAGATGAAGGCACCAGATCCCCTGAACTGGAGTTATAGACTATTCTTAGCCATCATGTTGGTCCTGGGAACTGAACCTGGATCCTAAGAGCAGCCAGAGCTTTTTAACCATTGAGTCATTTCTCCAGCCTCTCATTTACTTTTTATAGTTGGGCATAAATGACCTAATTCATCCTAATAATTTTTGTCATTGAGAGCAGAAAGGCTGCCATAGTGATGCCCCTGTGCTGGTCTCTCAGCTTCAACAGTGATCATATATGGTCAGTATTCACACCAGCTTGAATCTTTGTAATGCTAATCCAGATATATAATTTCATCTTTGAATATTTGTTTGCATTTCAAAGAGACAGAACATTTAAAACATAGATATCAGTTGTGCTTAAAATAATATTCATTAGTTTTATCAAAATCCAAATTTTATCATTTCCTGTTTTTTGGAGTGTTTTGAGTCTTCACATTAAACTATGACTATTTACTAGTTTCATTTTTGAATGGAATGCTTATTTTTCAAAAAAATCTAGTAGTATAGTATATAAATGTTAAAATTTTACCTTTAAGAAGATTATATGGGGCAGATGAGATGGCTGATCAAATAAAGGCTCCTGCTGTCAAACTTGAGGACCCGCGATCAATCCCTGGGACTACCATGGTGGAAGGAGAGAGCCGATTCCCATAGGTTGTCCTCTGACTTTCAGAGTGTAGTAGCTGTGCACACATTTACACACACACACACACACACACACACACACACACAATAAATGTAATAAAATATTTTTAAAGATTATTTATACTAATTTAAAGTACTATTTTCTTTTTGATTTCAATTACCTTTAGGCTTCACATTTGGAGTTACTGGCTTCTGTCCCTGGAAACTATTTTCTAGTGTAAAAATTGTTAAGAAATATTGAGAGAGGGGCTGGAAAAATAGCTCAGTGGTTAAGAGCACTGGCTGACCTTGCAGAGGAACCAGGTTTGGTTCCCAACAGCCACATGGTGGCTAACAGCCAACCATAACTCCAGGTCCAGACGATCCAATTCCTTCTTCTGACTGTCTTCTGACTTCTGTGGGCATTGCATGACATGGGTGCACCTTCATACATACAATAGATTTTTAAAAAGGAGATATTGATAGTGTAAATAAAGCAAATAGCTCAGCATACAAAAGCACTTTGTGAATCGAGTGTTTGTGAAACACAGAATGGTGAACTCTGTAAGCAGAATGAGTCCTTGTTACGAAGGCAGTAGCGGACTGTACCTAGACCGGCCAGTCAAGCAGAGGGCACGCTTCGCTCTTGTGCTGCACTCACTGTACTTGCCTTCATGGGACATGCGGTATCATAAACTGCATGTTTTAATTTATGCTTCTACTTTTTATGAGCCATTACTGTCTCTGTCTTTAAGCAAAAAGAAATGGAAGGAAAATAGAGGAAAAGTCAATTAAATTCAGCATTAAAAACATCATATTGGGTTAAATGAGTAAATATAAGGAATATTATCTTTTGCCCAGATTTTTTCTAGGAAAGAAAGTAAAACCGGTAAAACTCCTGTCTCTGTCACCACTAAAGCGCGTGCATGTGGCAGACAGGGCTGTATGTAGCAGGTTTGACTTTTCTGCTGTTATCCTGAGATATGTTGGATGTTCCCTTAATCCTCCCGTCCCTGCTCGCAACAGGCCTTCAGGCCCTCAGTTCCTCCTTTGAGACTAGAAATTCAGGGTTTCTAGGTGTTACATTTTCTCCACAACAGTAGCATTAACAATGACAGCTCTTAAATTCTGTTTCTGGCCAGAAACTGAGTCTTCCCAGAAAAAAAAACTGATAAATTAGAACTTTATCATAATGAAAGGTTTTGCTTTCTGAAAAATACTGTTAAAAGAATGAAAAGACAAGATGTAGATCAGGAGAAAGTGTTTGTAGATCACGAAACTAACAAGAGACATATCTAAATGATGTAATGAATGTTAAAAACTCAATAACATGAAAATAATTAAAAATGAGGAGAGCTGAGAGTCAAGTCAGTGGTAGAAGAACTGTTGCAGAAAGAGTAGAGTACCTATAACCAAATAAAAGAAGTGATGGTACAGAAAACGTGCACGGCATAGGTATGGGAAAACATTCTCAGTGTCAGTGGTCACTACATAAATTCAGATTAAAACTAAATGAGATACTATTACACACCTATTTCAATGTCTAAAAACCCAAAACTAAAAGATCATGCCACATGCAGAGACAAAGTGGAACAACAAAAAAAAAAAAAGGAAGATTTTGCACATTGTAAATTGGAACTACCACTTAGAAAACTGGCAGTTTCTTAACGTACTCAATACACTTAGATTTGAGCCAGTCACTGCACGCCATTATTTTTCCCGGAGAACTGAGAGTGTGTATCCATGCAAAGACTTGTGTGAAAATCTTCATAGCTACTTTATTTGTAATAACCCAAAGTAGAAACAAGTAAAATGCCCATCAACAGGTAAGCAGAGAAACCAGTTGGTGTAAACATAATGGAATACTTTTTAATAATAAAGGGAATAAACTACTGATATATGCAGCTATATGAGTAGAGACATAAGCCAGTTGAAAAATAATTGGATGACTCAGTTTATATGAAATTACAGAAAATGCAGACTGCTTTATAGTGACTGAAAGTTGACTGGTGGCTACTTAGAGACTGGGATGGGACAGTATGGAAGAAGGTGTTAGGAAGGAATACAGAGAGTCTGTGGTGAAAATGCTCCTTATCAGAGTCATGGCAGTGATGGCATGGGTATATATGTGTTAAAACATAGAATCGAATACTTTCAGGTTATTATATGTAAACCGTACCTCAATAAAGATTTAAAAAGCAGGCTTTAGAGCATTCTTCTTGAGCATGATTTCTACACTCTCCTGCAAAGTATGAAACATGAGGCCAGACAGGCGAGTCTCTGCTGTGTCTGCTTTTGTACTGCAGTGGAAGAATGCAGTGTTTGTGACAGAGCTTTCTGTGACTATAATGGAATAATACATGAAACACTTAACCTTAAAAGAGATAAGGTTTATTTTGCCTGTAGTACTAGGAATTGGAATGTTGAGGAAGCAAGTACCATCCTGGGTTCTTGGCCATCCTGGCTATATAGTGAGATCCTTTCTGGAACATCAACGACAGCAGCAATGTCCTAGTTTGCCTTCAATTTCTGTGACAAAGCACTCTGACCAATCCCAACATAGGGAGGAAAGGGTTTATTTGGCTCACATCTACTGGGTCACAGTTCATCACTGAGAAAGCCCAAGGAAGGAACTCAGGGCAGGAACCTGGAGGCAGGAGCTGAAGCACAGGCCATGGAGGAACGATGCTTACTGGCTTGCTCCCCTGGCCCCTGCTCAATCTACTTTCTTATACTATACAAGACTTCCTGTCCAAGAGGTGGCACTGCCCACAGTGGGCTGGGCCCTTCCACATCACTCAACAGTCAAGAAAATGCCCACAGCCATGGCCACAGGCCAGTCCTATGGAGGAAGTTCTCCAATTGAGGTTCCCTCTACCCAGGTGTGTCAAGTTGACACTAAAACTATCCAGCACAAACAAACAAACAAAAAAATGAAGCCGCAGCTTAAGCTATCTAGACTGTTAATTGCAATTCTGTAATATAGTGATCTCAGTGTAGTTTTAATGCTATTGTTTATGCATTTACACTTACTTTGTTTTTAGGCAACTGTTCTAAGAGTGAGGAAATTAGAAGAAAACATTGAAGCAGAAAGAGCAGCACATTTGGAATCAAAATTTAATTCTGAAATTAGTCAGGTAAAATGTGAACAATTATTTTTGGTATGATTTTTCTTAAGTGATAACATCTAGGAAAACATTACCATTTTCAGAGAACTACAGTGTGTATTGAGGATGGGCAACGTATTGTTATGGCACTTATTATTGTACTTAGGGTAAGGAGGCAGTTGAGGATATACTCTTACTATTTGAGATATTGGTACACCTCAGGCCAGGATGTTACCACTGTCTGCTCTTACTAGATCTTGTCTCTTCTATGACTGCTTTTGTACTGCAGCAGAGGAGTACAGTATTTGTGCCAGAGAACGAATGGCCTGTGTATTAGTCAGCTTTCTGTGACTATAATGGAATACATGAAACACTTAAGCTTAAAAGAGATGAGGTTTGAGGTTTGGTTCATGGTTCTGAAGCCCACAACTTGGGTGACCTTATCTCTTTGGGCCTCTGGTAAGGCATCGCCTCATGGTAGAAGCACACCTCTCATTTTTAGACAAGAAACAGGGCAAGAGAGAGGCTGAAGCAGGATCCCACAGTCTGTTTTGAGGCCACAATTCCAGTGACAGAAGGACCTCCCATTTCTGTCTCTTAAAGGTCTATAGTATTCCTAACAATGCTATTCTTGGGACTAAGTTTTGAAAACTTGCACATTTGGGGACATTCAAGATCCCACTTGGGAGGCAGAAGCAGGTGGATCTCTCTGAGATTCGGGACAGCCTGACCAAAAAAAAAAACAAAAGAGGAGGAGGAGGAGGAAGAAGAGGAAGAGGAGAATGAGAAGGAGGAGGAGGAGGAAGAGGAGGAAGAGGAGGAGGAGAAGGAGAGCAGGCGCACAGATGTGTGCACATCAGCACAGTTACTTGTTTTTAGTTTGTGTGTGTAGTGTCTGTGTATATATGTGGTGCCCATGTGTATAGTGCCTGTGTGTGTGTGTGTGCCTGTGTGTGGTGTCTGTGTGTAGTCTCTGTGCATATGTGTGGCATTCATGTGTATAGTGCCTCTGTGTGTGTGTGTGTATGTGTGTGCGTGTGTTTGGTGTCTGTGTGTGTAGTGTCTGTGTATATGTATGTGTATCTGTGGTATGTGTGTATGTGTGATAGCACCTTGAGAAGCATAAAATATTTACTATTTGGATCATTGCAGAATACTCTTTTGACCAGAGTATTTTTTTCTTTCAGCAATGGTGGGATTGAGTTTCTTTTTGGTAGCATTAAAAAAATTAACCTTATTTGCTGAGTGTGTATCTGAGCATTCACATGTAGTTTCTTAAGAGCTAAAGGTAAAAAGGTAAACTCCTTTTGGAACTTACTTTCCATTATCAATACTATATATGTTTATGTTTATATGTGCATGTGGAGGTGTGATGCATATATTGGAATATAAAATACTAAAATTCTACTGGAGTATAATAATGAAATGATTAAATCTAAATGGAGGTCCCCAAAGGAAATTATCTTTTTTTTCTAGGCTTCACAAAATGAAAAAGATTTTTTAAAAATATATTTTTTATTGAGCTTTTGTAATTTCATAGAACAGTTCTTAATCAAATTTAGATCCCCTTCCCCATCCATGCTTCCCCACCCCCCACCAAACCTCATGTATTCCTCCATCACAGATACATAAAGGGTCTTTGGAGGGATGGCTGTGCAGGGAGGGTCCTAGCAAAGACACAGTAGGTATGATGGCAGCATGATGGACATGATGGAGTTCTGAGGACAAGAGGGAGGGTTTGGCTAGAGAGGACAGGGTCTTAAAGGGCTTGGGGCCCACAGTGGGAAGAGCAGCCTGGAGGTGCTGTCTATGGGAAGGGCCAAGCCAAGGTGTCCCACTAAATTTTTGCCTTCCTCTTCTCTGTTTGACCTGCCCTCACTTTTTTCAGGGTCCCTTGCTCAGGCGCTATCAGACAAACCACATAACATATTTTTATCTGAATTTTTCATTTTATATCTTGGGTAGGGAGGAGGGGAATAGAGGAACTTAGAAACGAACACCTGACACTTAGCACCCAGCTCTGTGCCGCTCTGCCCACCATTCCAGATCATTTCTGTGCCTGCCCATAATCTCTGTTAACTTTCACCCATGCATCTTGGGCCTGCAGTCTCGCCCCAGGTCAGTAAATGCCCCCTCTCTCATGGGTGAGACATCAGGGCCGTCTTTCTCTTCACGCCTGCCACAGCACACCATCCTCCCCCCACTTGCTTGGGTCCCAAGATGGTGCCCAGAAGCCCCTCCCTCTGTGGCTAACTCCACAGTCAATTTTCTGCAGCAGGCCCTACCCCTTGGAGGAACCAGGTCCCTGGGACACACAAGGACAGGGTGGGCCTGACACTGGGGAGAAGGAAAAGCCTGCCTGTTTGAGGAGGAGTCTAGGCCATGGACAGGATAGAAGGGCAGCTGATGTGGACAGTAGATAAGGAAGTAGCTGGGTCATCCGACTCTACTGCTGGTTTGCAAGCCGCCTCCACTTTTCTGCTGCCCAAGAGGCCCTTCTCTAAAGTTGGTCCTTAATGCATCAGATTCCACTGAGATCCAAACCTAGACCTGTGGGCCACCTCAAGCGCAGAACTGTCAGGACAGAGGGTAGAGACACATATATAGACCCCCTTCCCCTTCCATGCCTCCCCCCATCCTCCCACCAAACCCTATGCACTCTGCCATACATGTTAAGTCCTATACATTCAGGTATTTGTACTTAGATGTCCTTCAGTGTAAATGCATCCACTGGAGTCTGATCAGCCCATCTAAGGATCATATGTAAGTCATACGCTCCCTCACTCAGCAGCAGTCAGTCTTGAATAGTTCTCAGTCTATTTCTGGCCCTCCACCTATTTCTCTCCTCCCCTTTGGGCCCTTGTTTAATTGAGTTGACATGGGTCTTGTGCTCGATGTCACCATTGCTACAAGTTCTTGTGTGCAAGCTTCTGGTGGCCTGGAAGCCTCTGTTTCCCTGTGTTCATGAACCAGCCCTGGCTCTTACAATCTTTCCGCCTCCTCTTCCACAGTGGTCCCTGAGCCATGGGTGGGTGAAGTTCTGTATAGGACTCCTATCCTACACTCTACAGTCTCTTATTCTTTAACACTTGGTCAGTTGTGGCCTTCTGTGTGCACTGCACTTTGTTGTATAAAGAAGATTTACTGGTTAGAGTTGAGGAATGCATTAGTTTTCTCTCTACCCCTTATTCCACTATGTTCCCTGAGCCTTAGTTGTAGAGGTTCAACTGTAGATGTGTCCTCTACTACTGGGCATCTCTCAGGTGTGTGTTCTTTGTGTCATACCAGATGTGCAGTTCTGAAGTAGCCTCCATCTGTTGCATAAAGAAGCTTCTTTAATGAGTGGTATACAGTATGCTTGTCTGTAAATATAAGGATTGATATTTAGCATATAGTAAGAAGTTTCATTTGTCTTGAGCTATGAAAGAGATAGGGTTTTCTCCAGGATCTATGTTCTCTCCTGTCCTGTGTGTTTGGCTGAGTTTACAGTGCAACCCATGAGTTCCCTCCCATTGAGAGGGCTTTAAGTCCAATTAAATAGCTGTTGATTGCCCTCCAGATAACAGAGCCACTACTGTACCAATAGAGGTTATTTGCCATGCTGGTCATTATGGTTGTTATTAGGCTTTAGGGCTGGTTGGACCATTGATTGTCTTTCTTCCTTGGCAGTTTGCATATCATCATCTAGCATTATTATAGCCAAACTTCATTTAGAAGGCTTTTCAGTCAGTTCCTGCTCCATTGTTTCAAGTCCTGTACCCTAAGTATGTCCTGTTCTCAACAGTAGGGTTTTATCTACTAGTTCCAGGAGATAACCAAGTGGTTTGGCAATATCCTGTTTTATTTTGGGAGTCTCCTGAACCACCTTCTCCAACCACTCTAAGGGAGGTCTCTTCTGTCTGGCACTGTGTTCCTTGCCAAGCAGCTCCCAGGTACACATATGCATTAATGTTCAGACACTGTATGTGCATTTCTCGTAGGGTTTGGAGGGCATCACTTTTCCCTCTAGGCTTCCTAGTCCCCCAAGATTAATTCATGTCTACTCATTTTTCTCCCATCTGGCCTCCCTCCCAAGTCACAATGTCCCTATTATCCCCATCCTCCCCCAATACCATTTGACGCCCACCATCCTCCCTCTCCTGACTTCCCTCCCTCCCCCACACCATGGTCCCTTGCATGTCCCTCCCTCCTCTCCTCCCTGCCGAATACTCTCACTTTTTCCCACCTCCCCCTGGTACCATCTGTTCCCTACTGTCCCCTTTTCAGGTTCTTTCTTTTCCTTCACCTCCATGTGTACTTTCCCAATGAAAAGGAATTTTTAAAAGAAGTAAGGCCACAGCATTTTAACTAGGAGTTAGATTACTACTGCCTGTGAACTAATTCTGATCTACAGCCCATTTTTGTAAATAAGTTTTATTGGAAGATAGCATACCCATTTGTAGTTGCTTGTCAAGACAGAGATCCAATGTCCCACAACCTAAAGTATTTACTCTCTGGCTCTTAACAGAAAATCTGTTGACCACTCTTCTAAACAAAGAGAAGTATGAGTAAAGCCAGTAAATAAAAGTGTGCATGTTATTTTATAGAATACTGTAAGAATACTGTAAAATGAGCCAGGAGTGGTGGCGCACGGCTGTAGTCCCAGCACTTGGGAGGCAGAGGCAGGCAGATCTCTGTGAGTTCAAGGCCAGCTTGGTCTATGTAGTGAATTCCAGGTCAGCTGAGGCTACAGGGAGACCCTCTCTCAAAAAGACCAAAAAAATAAAACAAAACAAAACAAAACCCTGTAAAATGTAACATGGTGGTGCTTAGGGAGATGTTTGATGATAATATTGGATAGATGTGATGAAGGCTTATTAAAGTCCTTTTTCATGATAAGGAACTTGGACTCATTTGATATTGGCAGGAAGCTGCTGTGGGCACTGCTTGTTACATATTAAATGCTCAATAAATGTTTATTAAATATTCCTTCATTTGATCTTTGTAGAGGCTCTGTAAAGTTTAGACATTCGTCTTTTTTCTTCATAGTTTAAAGATGAGAAATCTCAGGTGTTTGAATAGTAATATGCCCAAGGTCACATAAGTTAATTTGTTGAGCTGGATTTCAAAACTGAGTTTTATGAACAAAGCCCATTTTCTATTTTGTGTGAAGCATTTCTTTACCCCCCTCCCCCTTAAATTTTTTTTAGCAGACTTAAAAAAGTTTCCTTTATTTTTATTTGTTTAAAAAATATTTTATTTATTATTCATATTTTATGTGTATGAGGGTATTGCCTGCATGTATGTGAGTGCACCTGTGTCGTGCAATGCCACAGAGATTAGAAGAGGGCCTCAGATTCCCCTGGAGCTGGAGTTAAGGACAGTTCATAGCCACCATGTGGGTGCTGGGAATCGAACCTGGGTCCTTTGTAAGAGCAGTGAGTGCTCTTAACTGCTGAGCCATCCCTCCAGCCCCAATAGTCACACATTTCAAAAATAAAAATAAGATGTGAGGATTGATAATTCTTGGTTCTCTTCTTCCCCTCTTTTCCTTCTTCTCCTTTGCTCATTCTTGTCTTTCTCACCTAACTTTAGCATTGTACATGCACTGATGTGGACCTTGTGGTTTGCAGTATGAGCAGCACGTTGTTCTGTAATTACATAGACAACTACTCAGAAAGACATCTCTTTAAAAGTTGTTTTGGGGCTGAAGAGATGACTCAGTGGTTAAGAGCACTGGTTGATCTTGCAGAGGACCCAGGTTTGAATCTCGGCACAAACATGATGACTAACACCCATCTATAATTCCAGTTCCAGGGGATCCAATGCCCTCTTCTGGCTTCCAGAGGCATTGTACAACATGGGTGCACTTAACATGTGTAGGCAAAGCATCCATACACATAAAATAAAAAATAATAAAATATTTTGAGTTATTTATAATTTTTATAGCTATATATCCTCCTTTTGTTTATTCATTCTGCTGTTATTAGACACTGGAATCTAAATTTTAAGGTGTCTTATTGCGCAAAATCTCAAATAGTTACAAAAGTATACAGATCATTGAAATGAACTTCACCCAGTTTCACATCTACCTCAAGCCAATTGCATTTTATCATTATCCCCTGCATTGTCCCACTTCCAGATTATATTGAAGGAAATCCAAGATAGCAAGTCACTACAATCATGAATATTTCATTTAAATAGTATTTAATAATAAAGGTTCCTCTTTTTTTTTTGGTCTTTTTGAGACAGGGTCTCCCTGTAGCTCTAGCTGTCCTGGAGCTCACTATGAAGACCAGGCTGGCCTTGAACTCACAGAGATCCGCCTGCCTCTGCCTCCCGAGTGCTGGGATTAAAGGCGTGCGCCACCACGCCCGGCTAAAGGTTTCTCTTTTACAGTAAACTCCAGGTATAAATATATTTTTAAAGCATATTTTTCTAATTTTAAAATTACATTATTTGTGTGTGTGTGTGTGTGTGTGTGTACATGTACATGTACATGTACATACCATGGTGCCATGTGGAAGAGGTCAGAGGACAACTCAAGGGAGTTAATTCTCTCCTTTCACCATGTGGGCTTTGGGAATTGAACTCAGGTCATTAGGCTAGTTGGCAAGCACCTTCCCCTCCTGAATGGTCTCACCAGCCCCTTTTAAGCTTATGAAGATATTCATGTCATAATGTTTTGTGTGAGGACGAATATTCCCCTTTAGTTTTCAAAAACTACTTAGGATGGTTTATACGAGATGTGAATGAGTTAAAAGGCCAACATTAGTTTGATGGGACAGGTAGGTGATCTGTACCAGTGTCTGCTTTTCTGTAGCACAGTTCTTTATTCTTTTGTTCTTTCTATGAAATGTGTTAAGAGAATTAGCTGTCTTTTGTTTATTTTCTTTTTAAATCAAAACAGAAAGAAATGTTTGGACAAATGACAATCTATTGTTGATGAAGTATTCTACTCAGTTTAAGATGGAAACCAGCATTTCTTAGCCTTTTGAAATCATTTCTCTATCATTTGGTAGTTACGGATTCGAGACCTCGAAGGAGCTTTACAAGTAGAAAAAGCCAGCCAAGCAGAGGCTGTTGCTGATTTGGAAATAATCAAGATTGAATTCAAAGAAGTTGAAAGTGCATATGAGCGGGAAAAGCATAATGCACAAGAAAGCTTTACAAAGCTAAGTTTGTAAGTATTTTACAGCAACTTCTGAATGTTCCTAAAGGTTTCATGAGTGCTGCCTAAGCATGAATATGTGGCATTTTATATATGACTCCTATTAATGTCAGTCATAGACCTGGAGGGAAAGGGCTTCATGAAACATAAGATACTTCCTGGTAAAGGTAAATGTGGAAATGTTGTCTTGGATCTTGAAGTATTTTAGGCAGTCCCAGAAATGAATTTATATATTTATATACTAGAAAGTAAATGTAGTAACATATTTGGATTATATTTATTAATATAGCACAATATCTTTAAACACCTAGATTCCTAGGCCACACGGGGAGAGAATGCTTGTGATTTTCTTGAACTGCAGAAATAACAGCAGTAACAGCACTAACAGCAGTAACAGCACTACTAGTGGGAAGCACACATTGTGGCTCACTGTGTAGATGGCACTAAATAATTTCATTTAATTAATCTAACACTCTATACTCGTTCAAAAAAAAGGTAACTACTCTTTTTTTTAATCCTAGAATTTTGTGTGGCATATGTATGTGTATGTGTTTGCATGTGTATTTGGAAGTTAGGGGTTGGTGGTGGGTCGACTCTACCTTTTTCTTTTTTTGAGACAAAGTCTCTCACTGCATCTGGAGTTTACCAATTCAGCTAAACTGACCAGTCCACAAACTCCAGAGATCCATGTTTCCATTCCCTGAGTGCTGGAGTTACAGACATGCACTAGTACATTTACATAGGTGCTGGTAATCTGAACTCAGACATGTAATTGGGTGGGTCTATCATCATCATCATCATCATCATCATCATTAATGTGTATGTGTATGTGTGTGTCTTTGTGTATGTATGCTATGTTTATTTAGGTGCCCACAGAGGCCAGAAGAGGGAGTCAGATCCCCTAAAATTTCAGTTGCAGATGGTTGTAAGCCACCAGACATAAGTACTGGGAACCAGATGGGTTTTCTGGAAGAGCACTAAGTGCTTTTAACTGCTGAGCTGTCTCTAGAGCCTGAAAATTGAGTCTTCATGAGAGAAAGGGCATATGTTCACAAGTTGTAGTCAGAATCTTTTTGACTCCCACTGATTTTGGCCTTTGCTAGTTCAAAAGCCTTTCATCTTGAAAATTCTATGAAATCCTATTTAAATTTAATTTAAACTTCTTTAACATGTTTCAAAAAAAACCCAGAGAGTAGAAGTCATACTGTTATTGGTGTGTGACATCATAACTGGTTGGCACAATATTAGAATTATATATTTATCTGTAATCCATTTTCTATTTATGACAGATAATGGTTTTCTGTTTATAGTGCCAATTTAAAGAATCCTTTAAAATAGTTAGCTATTATATGTGTAACAAAAATTATTAAAAAAGGTACTTGAAAGATCGAAGTTTAAAAAAATATAAAACTATTATGTATGATTGCTTTTAGTAGTAATGCTTATAACTTGTTTGCTTTGGTGCTAGAGATTTAACTAGAGCCTTGTGTATGTTAACAACATATTATGCTGATAGGCTATACCTTAGATTCATTAATGCTTATAACATTTAAAATTCTAATTCTTGTTTTCTTTTTATAGTAATGGTGATCTACAGCTAGGCAAATGTCTTCTACTGAGCTATGTCCCTAGCCCTATTCTTCTTTTTGAGACAGAGTCTCACTGTGTAGTCCTGGCTGGCCTAGAACTCGCTGTGTAGACCAGGCTGACTTTTAACTTAGAGAAATCTGCTTGCCTCTGCCTCCTGAGTGCTAGGATTAAAGGCATGTACTACCACACCTGTTCCCCTATTTTCATGTTGAAAGAGAGTACCAGTAAGTTGCCATGCTGGCCATAAACTATTCATATAATCTAGCAGGTTTTGAATTTGTAGTCCTGCCTCCACTTCCCCAGTCACTGGGGATTATAGGCATGTACACTAAGCTTATCTTAAAATGTAGTTCTTCTAAAATCTTTTTTTTTAACTTTATTTATTATTGCTGGGAGTCATGTTTGTGGACATCAGGGGATGACTTTGGGGAGTCAGTTCTCCCCTTCCACCTTCGTATGAAGTCCAGGTATTGAACTCAGGTTGCAGGGCTGTGCAACAAGCACTTTACCTGACAGGCCTCCTTATTGGCCCTTAACTGAATTGTCTTGCCTTCACTAGTTTCACATTCCTAACTAGTATATGTTGGTCTAAGGACATATCTCATTTCCTTTGAATAATTTGAATAAAATTTGAATCTACACATGTAATATATTTGAATACATTCAAATATTACTCAACTATGCATCCAGATATATAGTATAGAATATACATATGAAGGGCTTTGTGAAATGTATAGTGAGTGTGTTTATTGTTGCTTTGGTGTAATGATTAGGGATTACAAGTAAATCTGTAAGAAGTCAGACTGAGCTTTTAATAATTAAAAGATTTTAAACAATGAGCTAATAGACATCTTTGGCAAACTAATGAGTTCCTTGCCCTGGCAAAACTGAAGCAGAAGATTGTCTTTCAAGGGTGTAGAAAGAGAGTCTGTACAGGTGGGACTGGAGGACTTTAAAGAAACCTGCTCTAAGAGTCTTCCATCTGTGTACTTTTGTAATTGGACTTCAAAGCAAATTCTTTCCTTAAGCTTTCTTTTGCTGTTTGTTCTTTGTATTTTGGTGTTTGGAAGTTTTGCCCAAATTGTGCATTCTAATGAGCAACAACTGACAATTCTAAGCACTAGTTACTTATCCCAACAAGTAGTAGCTAACAGTTTTTAGTGCTTTTATGTAATGACCCTCTTATGGTTTAGATATGACGTGTCTCCGAAAAGGCTCATGTGCTGAAGGCTCAGCTCTCAACTAATGGTGTTATTGAGAAATGAGGTTCCTGGGGGCTTTGATTACTGATGGATTTGCAATTAAATGTCATTATTGGGAGGTGGTAGAAACTAGGAGGTTGGCTCTTATTATAGGAAGTAGGTCGCTGAGGGTGTGCCTTTGAAGGGTGTAACCTGCCTCTGTGCTTTCTCAGGCTCTCTGCCTCCTGGCTGCCATGAGGTGAGTAGCTTTATTCTACCACATTCTCTTCACTGTGGTATTCTGTCTTACTTTGGGACCATGACGCAAAACTTCAAAACCATAAGCCAGAATAAATCTTTCTGCTTTTTAAAAAATATTAAAACTTTTTCTTTACATTTTTATTTTGTATGTATATATGCATGCATGTGTGCATGTATGTGCCATGGGACATATGTGGAGGTCAGAGGACAACTTGCAGATGTTGGTTCACTCCATTTTACATGTGGGTCCCAGATGTCAAACTCAGATCTTTGGGCTTGGTGGCAGGTGGCTTTACCTGCTGAACCAACCTTTTGGCTCTTTCTACTTTTAAGTTATTTTTATTATATATTTTATCACAGTGACAAAAAGTGGCAGCCCTTATTTATTTTTTATTTCCATATAATTAAGCTATAGTAATACAAGTTAATAATAATAATAATAAATTAAATAATTAAAGCCCTTGTACTCATCTCATTGATCGTTCCTATAGATACTTTTCCTTATCCCACCATTCCCTTTTCTTATACATAAGTTTGTTACTCATCTCATCGTTGACCACATACCTGCCAAAAAGCCTCTTTGTTTATTTGGTCTTTTTGAGACAGGGTCCCCCTGTAGCCCCAGCTGGCCTGGAGCTCGCTATGTAGACCAGGCTGGCCTTGGACTCACAGAGATTCGCCTGCCTCTGCCTCCGAGTGCTGGGATTAAAGGCGTGCACCACCATGCCTGGCCCAAAAAGCCTCTTAAGGGAGAAAAGATTTATCCCGGCTTACAGTTCAGGTTGGAGAAGGCATGGTGGCAGGACAATGCCTGTCCATGGTGGTGAATTTTGAGACTGCTTGTTCATATCTTAGTGGGCCAGCAAGTGGAGGGCTCAGGCCGGAAGTGAGGCTGGGCTATAACCCTCAAAGACCACCGTTCAGTGACCCACTTCCTTCAGCTGGTCCCTGCCTCTCAAAGTTTCTACAACCTTCTAAAACACCAGCTGGGGAACAAGTGTTCAAACACATGAGCCTGTGGAGGACATTTCACATTCAAATTGTACAGTGAATTATTTCATTTTCTACTTGTACTTCTGTTCTTATCTTTTAAAATTTTAATATTTTAAGTTAGCCTACAAAATAGTGAGTTCCTCCCTCACTGGAATAATAACTTTTACTTGACAAAAAGTCAAGTGCTATATTAAAAAAATTATTTAGTCTTTGAAAATTTCATACATGTATATATCTTGGTAACATCCACCCCACATTCTCCCCTCCAACACTGCCTAGGAATCCCCATCTTCCTGTCCCTCCCAACTTCATGTCCCCCCTTTATAATTATTTTTAATATTTTATTTATTTTTCTAATTTTATGCGTATGAATGTATTGCCTGCATGTATGTAAGTGCACCTGTGTCCTGCATTGCTTGTGGAGGTCAGAAGAGCATGCTGGATCCCCTGGAACTGGAGTTATGGATGGTTGTTAGCTGACATGTGGGTGTTGGGGATTGAACCCATGTCTTCTGCAAGAGCAACCAGTATTTCTAACCACTGAGCAATCTCTCCAGCCCCTAATTATTTTTTTTAACCCATTGACTCTAATTAGTGCTGCCCATATGCACATGGGCATGGGGTCATCTCCTGGGGCATGAGTGACCTTCCAGTGGCCACACTCCTTAAAAAAGTGACTCTCCCTCCTCCATTAGCCATCACCTGCCAATAGCTTCTCAGGTGGGAGTCAGGCCTAGGGATTGCCTCACCCACCCATACTGGAATTAAAAAGGTTTTTTTGATTTATTTTTATGTTTATAAGTGTTTTGCCTACATGTATGTAAGAGCACCCGTGTCATGGAATGCTCGTGGAGGTCAGAAGAGGGCATCTGATCCCCTGGAATTGGAGTTATGGACAGTTGTTAGCTGCCGTGTGGGTGCTGGGAACTGAACCCAGGTCCTCTGCAAGAGCAGCCAGTGCTCTTAACTGCTGAACCATCTCTCTAA